TCTTCCTCTTCCTCTTCCTCTTCCTCTTCCTCTTCCTCTTCCTCTTCCTCTTCCTCTTCTCCTCCTCCTCCTCCTCCCTCCCCCACCTTCCCCTTCTCACATTGACCTCCGCCCTTCTGGTTAACCTATATTCTGAAACATTTGCTTTTCTTCTTTCACCCATATTTGAATTGTGATCAGTCAAGACTTTTGTCTCTGAAGATTGTTTTCACTACAAACCTTATCATCATCAAATTGATATACCTGAAATGTATTCTTCATTTGTTTTGAAAAGCATAGGCTTTTTCTCAGGGATTTTACAGTTTCATTTCTTGTGCCCCTGTGTTTGTAACATCTCATGAAAGGAAAGATGTTTCTTCTAGCATGGTTTGCCTCTAGGTTAAAACTTAAACTAGCTATAAATTTGGAGAATGTCTAGGGTTAACAGACTGTATTTCAGAGTTAATTATTCTTACACTTTTCCTGAGATAACTCTTCACAAAAGCCTAGGGATGTATTTCTTTATGTATGGTAGGCTTAATCAGCTTGTTTGGAAATACCATTCTAACTTTTGGTCACTGGCAACAGTGAAGGTCATTTTTAATCATCTGCCACATTTTACAGCATCTCGTGTTTTCTTTTGTTTCTTTTTTTCACAGATTTCAGACTTCAAGAATCGTTCTGTTATCTCCCACAACTTCTCTTTCCGGAAAATGTAATGCAGAATAAAGATAATGCCCTCGGTATGGTATGCGTCAGGAATAGCATTCAGAGCACTGTGAAGCAATCTGCTTAGGGTTCTGCTCAGTGAAAAATTGGATCAAATCTTCCATGAGATCATCTTCGATGTTGCCAATGCAGACTGTTTTATATGTATTTTCTTCCTAATATTTTCTAATCTTAAATGATAGTGTTCCTGAAACCTGAATATTGATTAGCCACATAATGTGCTAAAATATACGATATTCCTGTATACTTCTACAGAGAAGGAACCTTTTAGAGAGGAGAAAATGCATTAGGTCAGTTTTTTTCTTCTTTATTGTCCTAAAGGCTTCAAAGAGGCTTACTGTTCTTTTCATGTAATATATTTAGATACAAAAGTATTTCTTGGGCCGGACATTTAGCTCAGTGGTTCCACTGCCTACCTCACAAGCACAAGGACCCTAGTTCGATCCCCGGTACCAAAAAAAAAAGTATTTCCTAATGCAGAGAATTTAATCATTTCTAGTCATTTCAGGTATTAGTAGTGTTAATTAGGATTGTAATTGTGCCGTAGCAGATACCTAGTTCCAGCACAAATATTTAATGTCCTTTATAGGGTATATTCACTTTTTAAAATACTATTATTGGATTCAAGAAACATTTTTAGCCTTTTTAATTTCCACTGTCCTTTAAATGTATCACTGAGGACTAATCTTAACACTTTAAAATTATTTTTTTACTTACTCTTCATTTTTCCAGAGCCGTTCTTTTCTCACCTGTTTTTCTTTTTAATATTTGATTTTTGTCTGTGATTTTAAAAAAGTATTACAGGATTTTCTTTGAACATTTTCTCCACATTGTATTTTACAGTTTATTTGATTGTTAATTTTCATAAGTTTATTCGGTTGTCAAAAAAATATTACTTGCTACAAAGTTCCAGAACAATGTTTTAATATAACAAGCATTTTTTGTTGTTTTTTGTTTCATAGCAACAGTTTGTGTTGACCTAACTCAGTAAATTTCCCTCAAGAAATGATCTTATATAATCATCTCTCTAGTCCTTGTCCTGTAATAGATTGCCAGTCACTTCCATAAAGAAGTAATTTTATTTTTGCTTTTCGCATTTTTATTTGAAAGAAGCAAAATTAGTCTACTAATATGTTTTTCCTGTTGTCAGGTAGCCCTTATCACAGTTATCCAAACAGTTAGACTACTAATCACATGTACACCAGACTCAGGTGGTAGAACCAGTATGGCTGTCACTCATTCAGTAATTGTTAAATATTTATCATAAGCCAAGTTACCATGGTAGTACTAGAAAAGATGCCAGCGTGAAACAGATTTCAGTACTGTCCAAAAGGTATTAAGTGCCAGTATGAAAGGAGTGTCTAGAGAGCAGATGTTCGAGTAGGGAGGGCAGATCATTGGGTAATCATACATGGTGCAGTGTGCTGAGCCATAAGCAGGGCTCCAGGGGAAAGGACTCTCAGTATCAAGGAATGAGAAGTGGCTTCCCCTGGAAAAGTGGTAAAGGGCTTTATGGAAAAAGTAGGAACGGGCATGCAGGGAGAGACCAAACCACGCAAGCAGAGCCACGAGGTGCAGCACTGGTGTGTAGAGAAGCGCGAGGTCGATTTTCTCGAGAACTTCAGCAGAGTGGAAGGGTAGTTCTGCGTATGATTGGAAAAGCGGCCTAAACCGGACTGTGGAGGGTCCAACAAATCTGGCCATTTCCTGTAATTCTCCGTATTCAGAACTTAGCTCACCTAGCCTCTCTCTTGTCAGCTGTTAAGAATTTGAATATCTAAAAAAAAAAAAAAAAAAAGAATTTGAATATCTTCCAGGATAACTGTGTTTTGAGAGAAAATTTTTGACAGAAATGACAACTAGATTATAAAACTATATGCAGCCAAATACAGCCTTTATGAATGGGTATGTTTTTGAAAATTTCCAGGGAAGTTGAGATGCTTCCATTAAATAGTAGAAACTTGAGCAGTTAGTACACATTATAATACAAAGATACTTTCTATCCATATGTGTTGTTTTTCAATACCATTCCTTGTTGACAAACCTTGGGCACAGGAGAATTTTGTAATGAAAGGATAATACTGAGGATTTTACTTTTTCCTTTCCCGCTGACCTAAGTCAGCTAGAAAAACTAGAAGATACCAGCCTGCATGGTGCCACCCATTCTAGGTGTGGTCCTAATGAGAAACCAGGGCTGAAGTAGCTGCGTGTACGTGTGAGCCCACTCTAGCCGAGAGCAGATCACAGTCCATACAGAATGGTGCAGCCATGCAGAGCCTGACTGAGAACTTCTGTGACCAACATAAAAGGGAGCGAAGATAAAACACGGGCCCACCTAGTTCCATCCATCTTCCCACATAGCCAGCACTGATTTGAGGCAACTGCACTGACAGGCAGACTCTTCAGGTACAAGTTAGCCAGTCTAGTTAATGGTACTGCCTGAAGTTCAGGAAAGGCAGGAGTCGGGGCACACCTATAATCCCAGCTACTCAGAGTCTGTGGCAGGAAGATGCAAACTTCAAGGCCAGCCTGGGCAGCTTACCGTACACCCTGTCTCAGAATGAAAAGGGCTGGGGCTATAACTCATTGGTAGGGTGCATGCCTAGCATGCTCAAGGCTGTGCATTTGATCCCCTGTACTGCAAAGTATAAAAATAATAAATTCCCTATATAAATAATGAAAAGGGTGAATAATAGGCCAATAACTAACATTCAATTGTCTATGAAAGGCAGCATTTGAAGGCCGCACCAACATTAAGAATTGAGTTTCAGGAACATAAAGTAGAGTCACATAACACTTGCTATGACAGGAAGAATCTTCCTTAGACTTTAAAACAGGATTACAACTTAAAACTTCGGACTAGGAAGACTTCCACAGACCTTTGGACATGAGTTCTTAGAAAGTATAATTTGGAAGTCTTTATAGGTCTTGAAACATGTTTTCCACCTTTTCTGGTTTTGGTCCTCTTTTCTCTTTGTAACCAGCTTCGTCTTGACTCAACTCCGCTGTGCTTAAGACCTCTAGTTTCCTCTCTTGTCACCTGTCCATCTGTCGCAGCAGAATGCGCCTGCATTCACGCCCAGTGAATCCAAAAGACAAAAGATTAGGGTGTTCCTGCCTCATGGATCCACGCGGATTTCAGCTGTTTCTGACCTCCTATGGAGTAGCTTATTTTAATTAAATGAAAATAATTGTAGTTTTAAAGACTTCTTAAAAAGCTTGTCATATTTTGCAAGTATGTTTTAGCCTAATTGGTATTTATATCTTAAGTATAAACCTTCCCTGAAAATGTATAGATAAATAACATTAAACCCATAAACATTTCTTGTCATAAAAAGCATAATTGAAAAACAATTTGTATAAGTATTTTCAAGTTACCAAATAGTGTTATCACAAATACTTGTTTAAAATATGCATTTATATTATTAGATTGCTTCCTGGAGCCCTATGATTTCTTCTTAAGACTGCCAGATTCCAAGTATAAAGCAAACCCAACTTTTCCCTGAGCCTTCTTGATTTTTGCCAGTTTTTTTAACTTTGACATCCTTTGGCACTGTGAACAAAGAGCACACTTTTAAGTAGCTCAGTGGTAGAGCACTTATCTAGCATACATAAGGCTCTGGGTCAATCTCCAGCACCACCAAAACAAGAAAGGAATTAGATAGTCATTTCCATTAGCAAAATTTTTATCCTCAACTGTAAGAAGTCTATTGAATACATCTTATTGTAATCTTTATTCACGTAAGTTCTTTTTTTTTTTTTTTTTTAGTGGAATTGGACCACAGGATTGATTTTGAACTCAGAGAAGGTCTTGTGGAGAGCCGCTACTGGTCAGCGGTCACATCGCATACTGCTTATTGGTCATCCTTGGATGTCGCCCTCTTCCTGTTAACCTTCATGTACAAACACAAGGAGGAGAATGATGCAAAGCCCAGTTTAGATCCAGTCTGAACTCTTGAAAGACATTAATGGCCCAAAACTATTTTTTTCTGTTCAAATGTATATGTCAAGGTAATGGAGATTTCAGGACTAAGTACTGTATGTTCCCATTTTGTTTAGGGCAAGAAATGGTTGAATTTAAAAGCACTTTATTTTCTCCATTCTAAAGAAATTACTTATAGTTTCCATCATTTTGATTATGAGTCTGAGAACCCCCTGCAAAGAATCAAGCAAGACTTACAAGTGAAGGAGGTTTGGGTGAACCATGGAAAAGTCACAAATCACAGCGTCATTTCTCAAGATACAAAGGTTCATTAATGAGTTGAAGCTAATGTATTAACCAAAATATGTTATAAATCTAAAATGTTCAAAGTCCAGTCTATTCTATGTGCAGTTTACAAAGCAGTATCATTGTTTTAGATTTCTGTGACAGCTTCCACAATTCCTATGAAGAATATAACAGATAGAAAATGTTCTAAGTTTAATTTGTTTAGAAAAACTAAAAAAAATTTGAACTACTGTATTTATAATTTATTATGTCTAACTAATGGCTTTATTTCAATGTACGAAACATTACACTTTCTTAATGTCTCTTTTGAACATAATTTAAGAACCACATTCATTTTCTATACTGTTGAAACCCTTTTTTCTCAGAACTCCATCTTTGTACTCTTCAGATGAATATCTAGACACTGTGGCATACCTTATTTTTTTCATTAAAACTTGTAGTTTCACACAACACCAGTTTAATTTTTTAAAAGAACTTTACTATGTACCTCAGAGAAACCTAAAATTTTTCTGCACTTGACAAAGTCTTTCATTTGGGGTACATTTTATTAACTTGATTAGAAAATTAGTAAATATCTTTGGAATGGGGATTATGACAACTATTTCAAATGTGTAAACATTTGTGTGCCAAATAGCTAACACATATGGAGGGATGGAATGCCACTAACAAATTTTAGTGTTGGAAACAACATAGAGACAGACACATAAATCAGGACATAAGGCCATGGCAGTTTCCTCGGCTGTAATTGTCTCCACAGTGCTTTTCATCTGAGGAGCTCAGTGCTTTCAGATGGGCACATTCAGTAGTCTGTGTAGTAGCTCCTTGAGGTAAGTAAATGTCTTTTTCATGTCCCACATTAATACACTAAGGCACCAAAACATAAAGTGCCTTGCATTCAGTTGCATAGCAAATTTAAAAAGTTGAAATTGAAGCCACACTGAATTTTTTTATTTGCTATTCAGTGACTCATAATTCACATATAACCTCATAGTAGTTTGCCAACAGTAACATAAGTTGAAATGACCATGAAGCCAACGTGTTAGGATCCATATCCATTCTCAGGGTCTCGCACACACAGGAGGAGTTCCCTAGAGAAGGGATAATAGCCATCTCTACCACAGCCACTCACTCCAAGTGGCTTCCACCGGCCCCACTCAAGGTGCTGTCTTTACTTAATCTTAGCTCCTCAGTAATGATTAACAAACAAGTAGAGTCGGTTAGTCACACATCTCACCTTTCTTTATAAGATAATAGAAATTGGCTGCAGAGCAAGATTATAGGTTCTACTCCATACCATCAGTGCTGCTGACTGTTTTGGACTTCCATTTAATTTGCACCCCAAAAAAGTACTTTTAGTGTTTTTAAAAATCCCAAAGTTCCATGCTAAGTACATAACACACGAAGAAACCCTTGCTATAAAAGTCTTTTGATCTTAGCAAAGCTGAAGAAATCTCTCAAATTTAGAGATTTCCTATGAACTCAGGTCATTTTCATAGCCTGTTTATTTTGTAGGTCTAATTTAGTTCTCAGGAAAATTCAACCCATGTCCTATGACTGTCATTAAAAGTTCTTGAGCATACATTGCTGTAGGTGGTATGGCCCTCAGATTTGTGAGTTTTAAGGGATTCCTTTGTAACCACTGGAATGTGAAGAGCCCATTTTACCTTAAAAGACTGAAATTCTATCAAACATTTTCATTCAATACTGAATTAAGAGTTTCCCGTAGGCACAGGAATACGTCTTCATCCTCTTCTTCATACTGAGGAAATAGTCACATTTCACAACTTGGAGTTTATATGAATCCTTAGAATTCAACATTCAAAACCCCTTTTTCAAATTAGATGCTCTGGACCATGGGACAGGTGTTTTGTTTCCAGGTCATTATTTCATTGACACAAAGGGTAATTTCGGTTTTATAGTACTCTTAATTCCGTGTCTGCATGTTATCATGGGATGTACTTGTAATATACAGAGTATGTGTAATGCTGCCTTGATTTAGAAGCTAAGTCAATTACCAAATAACATTTTGCAACTTTATTCCAGCAAGTACTAAATTGGTTCCAAAAAGTTCTGTTTTTGATACTATTAAAGTTCTCTATTCTGCGTACATGCTATGATTCTCTTGAGTAACAATCAGACTGTTTAACTTTAATCCAGTTAAGTCCCAAGAGTTATTGAAAAAGAGAATAAGAATAGATTAAATCTTGCTCTGTTTTTCCTTTAAAATTAGCCTTTCTAAGGCTCCTTGTTTAGAAGTTTATTTTCAGAAGTAATTTGGCTTATAAATTCCATACTAATTTTAGGACAATTGAAAACTAAGAGTGGGGATTTTCTAATAATCTCTCGTTTGTATGTGAATCAAGTCTTAGGAATCTTGTTTTAGTAAACAGCACCTATTAGCTTTTGCATGAGAGGCCTCAGACATGAAACTTGGACCAGTCTGTTGCATGCCGGATGCTCTGCAGCGTCGTGGTCTGGGGCATGGCATGTAACACACCACGTCCCAGCTTTGCATCCCCCAGAGCCTACACAGAAAGATCGTCAGTGCAGCCTCACAGCTGGCACTGCTGTTCACACCAGGAATGGTACTGAGCCCCTTATAGTGGACTCAGACCAAACCAAGAGATCCTTCTGTAAAATCTATGGTAGAGGAAGACCAGTAATCCAATTTCTTTCTGATCAATGAGACTAATATTTTTGTGAATAAGACATGGAAAACAAAACTAAAGTCTTCAGTTGTTTCTGAATAATCCTACATTGTCATGGAGATGAGGCTGAAAAAGAAACATGAAATGTTAAAAGCCAAGGCAGAGTTAAAAAGAGAAGGTAGCAATTATATACTGGAAAAAGAGACTAGAATTTTACTAAACAGTGTGGGAGAATTGCCTTCTGTGGATATTCTCAAGTTTCTGTCATTTGTCCGTATTCTGCTGTAGTCCCTGAGCCTGGGCCACTGTCAGGAATCTGGCACCGGCCGAGTTTTAACACATGAATCCGTTGCAGAGTTCCCACTTAGTTCATGTTGGCACTGCGATGGTCACAGCGTGGGTTACATACATCCTGTTTCACTCTTCAGGGAATGCTTGTGATAATTTTTAAGAACCCTGAAGTTTCAGAGTTGTTGAGATTTTCGAGGTCATCGAGCTTCATGGAAGCATTTAAGTAGCAGTACAGGTCACAAAAGGTAAAGCAAGAGGCTGCAGACTGACAACACACGGGGGAAGTAGCATCTCTAAGGAAGACTATTAACAGAACACATTTTCCAAAGCATGGTCTGCAGATGGGAACAATACCATGTCAGAAAGTAAGTGTGGGAAATGCCAAATTTTCAAGGTTCCTCTGAGAACCAAATGCATTACACATCTGTCTGGTCTGCTCAGGTTGAGGTGAGTTCCAAACTTAATCAGACAGTATTTTATTTGGAGTATTCTTAGAGACATGCTGATTGCACTTACTCCTTCCATTCTTCAGTTTCACTGTAGTTCTACAGTATAGAACTATACTCCCCCTACACAGTCAGCCAGTGCCAGTCGGAATTACACCACATCCTGAGTCGGAGCTGTGTTTTGTGTACCAAATCACCTGCCTCCCCTGATAGGGAATTCCTAAAGGGTAGAGACTGCCTCTCAACTCCTCCCATATCCCACGAGTAAACACATGACTCTTGTATTATAAGATGCTTTGCTTGTGACAGAATGTTGACAGATGTCTGTGGGCTTGAGTTCTCCAGTTGGTCTCCATTGTTTTCCCAAGTCATCGTGAAGGACCCCAACCAGATCTGAACAGACTTCCTTTCATGTTTAAGATTCAGAATACTGAATACAACAAGAAAGAAAGAGGTGGGAAGATTGAGAAGAAAGACAAGAAAGAACAGTACCCAGGAAAGATTTTATTAGCGTTTCATTCTAATGATACATGCAAACTTGAGGAAACGCATTGCAGTGTTGTTTATTCCTTTCATTCCATGGTGTTTATATGTTGACCTCTTATCAACTCATAACAGTGGGTCACTCCTAAAACTATTCAAACATAAGTTAATTCATGGAAATTTAAATTTTTAACTACTTTACTGTTTAGAGACCAGGTGAAGAATTCTTGCTAGTAGGGTGTATGTGAGAGTTCCCAAAAATAGTCCCTTGGCAGATTGCTAGCATAAACTTTCCTCTGCCTTTGTGTTGGGACAGGGCGGGTCCGTGCTTAGTATTGTCTGTCACCTTATGGTTTTTCACTTATATCTTAACCGAGTGCAATTTGCTTCCTCCCCACCCGGCAGTTGTCAGGATATGTTGGGAAATATTCCTTAGGTTACATCTGGCCTGCTCTTGAGGTAGGAATGAAAAACACCCAGGGTCATACCTCAGTGTTAGTGAGGAATTGGTTCCAGGATCATGATGCTCATGCCATTTTGCAATCACTGGTATGTTTGAAATCATCTCTAGATTACTGATAATACCTCTGTGCTGTGTAACTAGCTGTTACATGGTATTGTATAGGGAATCGTGATCCAAAATAATCTGGCCATGTTCAGTACAGATGCACTGTTTTTTCCAGTATCTTCCACACAGCCCCCACAGATACAGAGGCCGACTGTAGATTTGTCACCTTCTGTCCCCTCTAGAAGACACTATCCAGCAGTGTTGCTCATACCTTCCCTTGACGTCACCCAGCTCTCTGTTGTCTACTTTTACTCTAAAAATATTTGACTGCCTGTGAGTTTTTTGAAAACGAGTATAAGCATTTTCTGGTTCCAAGGCTGTCATCATAAATCCAAACCCTGCCAGTAAGTCTAGGGAAATTGTTGCTTCTTACTCAAAGGTGCATTTCTCAGAAACGGCACTGTGACCCTCCTGAGACTTTTGTTTCTTTCCAACTTTTCAGATTTCTTACGTTTAGCTCCTTATCAGTACTAAATGGTGTCAATGAGCGCAATGATAACTCTCAGAAGGTGGCATGTTTATTTTTCCTTTATTTCCTCTCATTTTTAACTGCCAAAGCAGGTTAATTTTTTCAGAAACTTCAATTTTACTGAAGCATCCATTATTTTTATCTTCACAATGATCAGTATGAATGGCCAAAAAAAAAAAAATTAACACTTTCCCACTAGTATTGTCCAGTTCTGGTTATTTTCTCAACTGGAACTTGTGCATTTACATTTAATAAAAATTTCTGAAGACCGAAAGATAATAAAATCTACCTGTTCATGGTTTGGTGTTTGTTTTGGTCATTGAGTCTCACTGTGTAACCCAGACTGGCCTCAAACTCGCAGTCCTCCTGCCTCAACCTTCTGAGTGTTGATTACAGATGTGTGCCACTACACCCAGTTTAAATTGTCGAATTCCAATCTTGAGTATAAGCCATTCATGACTTTAGTCCAGGGTTCAAAAAAAACACCATAGTCCCACGTTTTCAGGCAATCCCAGAAAACCCATGCAAATGGGAACCAACCACTACTATGTTCCCATTCCCCTTCCCATGCCCCATCCTTTGGGAGCCAGCATTGTGACTGAGTTTCAGATGTATTAAAGAGTCCATGAATTTTAGTACTGGACAAAAGTAATCCTTGTAACCTTGATTTTACATTTGGAAATAAATGTGGGGAAGAAAAGAGATTGATGTGTGGTCATGACAGTCTAACAACTTAGACACTGATCTGAAAAGTTAGCCCAAAGACCGTGTTTCTGAGAAGAGGAACAGGGCCACAGAGGCCTGACCGTGGCATTCCTTCCCTCAAGCCCTTTGATAACTCCACTGATCAAACCAGGCTCCCCACAACTTAGTCAAGTCTGCCTCACCTTCCACTCTGTCTTCAACAATCTTTTTCTGGCACAGAAAACACTATTTGCCTAAGAATCCTTGCCTGCAGTTATTGCAGTGGCTACCTGTTTCTATCTGCCTGACATCATTTATTCCCCTCCTTTGAGGTCCTCCCTTCTCCCTTGGGAAGTACTGTACAAGCCCTGCCCACTCCCTGTAGTTCTAACAGGAACCAGAAAAGGCCTCTTGAAGCCTTTCCCAATCCTGGTGAAAATTATTTTGGTTTTTGTATAAAACTTGGTGAATATTACCACCACCCCCAACCACCCCTGTCCCTACCGGGCTGGGAATGAGTACATGACTCCCATCAGACTTTATTTACTGCCCTGTGAGGCACAGGACACACATGAGACAGAACAGAGCCCTTCCATGGCCCCAAATTGCAGATAGCTATGGCTGTTAAACATGATCTGGAGGCTCATGGTGTGATGTGAATAGAGAGCCATCTGTGGCCCGACCACTCCTTCCTGTGACACGAATTCCTGGAGAACTGAAGAGAGTGCCGCCCCCAGATGCTCCAGTTGTGCTTTTATTTGCTTAAGCTATTTTGAAATGGGTCTCTCTCTTGAATCCAGAGGAGTTCGAGTTAATAACCATTAAACGGAAAGTAACTTCTCCGTCCCTCATGGAAATTGTCATTGAGGACAATGCCTTTCAAAGCATTTTCTCAATCCTCTGATTGAAATGAATGCCTGTAAGTTCCTCAGTGACTGAACCAGTTCATTTTGCCTTGTTTTAGGGTTTGATTACATGTTTTCCACTTGTTTGCATAAGGACTTTAAGGGAGGGAGCATATCTTAATCATTTTTCAAAACCAAAGAAAAAATTAATACCTCTTGGGACTGAACAGACTGTAAATTTTGATCACATCTTATATATGTCTGTCTGAACTGGAAAACAGAACTGTAGCATACTAAGTAAAAGACTGATTAATTAACTGGTGCCAAACTAAAATCCCTAACAAGATATTTATAATTGCAGCCACTCACCAACTCTGCCCCATAGTATCTCAGTGTCAGTTTCCTCCAGGGACTAAGACATAGTTCTTCCTTGCCCTGGCTGTTCCCTAAGGGTAACAGTGTGTTTCACTTGGGTCTACCTTTGCACTTGCTGTCCTCTCACCCTGCAAAGTGTTCTGTTTCTTTTCCATTTACTGAACTTTTCTTTACTTAGAAGTCAGTAATCAGTGCACTTGTGTTTAAGAAATAACATATTCCCTGAGCTTTCTCAGCGTCTTTCAGCTGCAGACTGTTTCTCTATATTGGACACTAATTCATGATTCACCCACCCACT